GCGAATGCGAGGGACAATGAAACATATATATATATTTAGAAAGGTTAAATATATATAAAGATAGTTGAATGTTGTTTTTTTATATTCTGCTATTAACAAAATTTTTTATAATTCTTTTCTAATTAATAAAATATAATAATTAAATCAATCTTTTACTTAATAAATTAGCAAAAAACTTTCTTTATAAGAATATTATCATCATATATTTAACTACCAAATCATCAAATATTTCATATTTTATTAGAAGCGTTGTTATATCACTATAATATAAATGAAAAGTAAATTTTCAAAGTTAATAAATATAACGAGATTACGTCTGCCAGCTCTGTCCCCTCTCCCCCCCCCCACTTAACCAAATCTTAATGAATAAATTATATTATAATATGCTATTTATAGCGTAATAATAGCGCATAAATCGAAGGTATATTTTACATAGTTAGATAACGTAATTTTGCAATTTTAAACGACTTAGGGATGAATATGACTGTTTGCTCTAAGAGGGAAATGGGCGGCAGCTAGACAGACGTGATTTCACAATTTACTAAAGGATAATGAAAGTTTTATTGGTTTGAAATTATATTTAACAGTAAATTCCTTGTGTGTACTTTTGTACATATGTGGATAAATTTCCAATATGTAATTGGCATCTGTTACGTCACACAATAAAATATATCAAAGTGATTAATAATAGTTCGTGTATAGTTCAATATATTATTTTTCTTGAATTTTTCTTAAGTTTTTAAGTCATTTTCCAAGCTAAAATTTAATGTTAAAAACATTTTTCATTAGAAAAATAATAATTTTGGAATCGCAATAATTTTGTCGAAAATGCTATGCGCTCATCGTGTATGAAATCGTATTGACCTTTTAAGCAATATTCTAAAGAATGCGATATTGTAAACTATTAATCATAATTACAGGCGATATAATCCACGTATATTTTTTCGTGAATTATAAACGATAATAAACGTACTAGAACTTTTTTGTATACAAGAGCATACAGAAGTGAATTCTAAAGAGCAAGCTGACAACTACGTCAAACACTTCGTTTTTCTCCGAGACGTCAGAGTTCATATCGTATATATGTGAACTTTACCTCGCATGTAAGAGACACGTGATAACTGCGAGATAAACAAATGATTTTTCGACACAATAGCTATATCAATATAATGAGAAGCGTCATATCATACATTCATACAAAGAATAATCATGCTTCACGCTGAATTGGACAAGAGTTCGCTTCTAGGACAATTTTTATATCCGACTGATTGTTGTACGATGCAACGTTCCGCTTTAATGTTCAGCCTTCAAGACGGACATTGTAAAATTTAATAATAACGCCTTTTTTTCTGGAATAGAAGGAGCACAAATCAACATTTCAAATATCTACTTAATGACTTTATCGCACTGATTTATTCTCAGTATTATACCGCTAATAGAATATGCTAAAACGAGATCTTATTAGAAATTACATTAAAATTTCGATGAAAAATGACAAAGACCTGTGATTGTGAGTAATGTGTTTCTCTACTTGATACGAGTACAACGAAGAGTACAATTATGTAAAAACAGTAAATGTAGAAACAGTAGGAAGAGAAAGAGAGAGAAAAGGGAAAAAAATACAAAAAACATTGTGCAAATCGGTTAATTTTACATTATACCCAAACATTTATAATATATTTTAAGAATGCGTAAATTTGATGCTAAAACAAAATTAGACGTCATTGCAGTGACTTCATTTTGCGTGTAATTTCTTTAAAAATATAAAAGTACTGTATAGATAATTTTAATTGACGTAAAAATATTTGTGTGATCTATCAAATACAGGATTATGCTGTCATATTACGAATGAAAAATTAATAGTTAAACTACTGACATTTTACAAAATAATAAAAGAATTAAATTTAGAGATTTCTTTTCATCAAGTTATAAGAAATCATAAAATCAAAAATTACAAATAATTCTGCTCAAATAATATCATCATTCAGAATCGGAGTTACTGTGCCTTAAACTTTCAAAATCGGTTAAATACTAAAATTTTTGCTTAGTGCAACACGATATAATTAAAATATAAAGAAAAGAGATTAATAAGAATAACTTGACTACCACACTTTCGATAATTACAGATCATAGGATGCATTGTGATCCTGAATTCGAATAAAAAAATGTTAAAAGTTTAGATATAGAGAGGATTTAAAACAGATGACTTATATCTGAAATGCTTCACATTAATTGTCAACCTAATGGACTGAATGCAAACTGACACAGAAGCTTTAAATCACGCTTACATAGAAATACTTAATATATAACATCATTGTTAATTGTTTTTCAGGTTAATTATGTTGATTCATTAAGTTAATACTTTCTGATTCCTTTATTCGTTATGCTAAACAATCACATTTTGACTATTTTACGTGTGAATGGCAATTTCGTTGTCGATAAATTGTTTTAATTTTAACGTTTGATGATTGCTTAATATGTACTATATTTTTCTGTATCATTTCATTAACAAGTTCTTGTTCACTGTGCGGGTTGTTGCTGGCTATAAGGTGAGCAAATCTTTTATTTAAGATCGTAATTTACATCCTTTTTCTATATGCGACAAATTCTTTTCTCTTGATAATAATTTTGAGATTGGCAATCCACTACCACTCAGCCATAAAATTGTTGTGTAAAATATTTGATAATAAACATTTGATTAAGGATGATCGCACCTCATTGCATGGTCTGCACAATTTGCACATGGAAACGCTCGAAATATGACTGCGATTCATAATTCAGCTTTATATTTTTGGGATAATGTTAGTAATATTTTCCTGCTAAAGATGGCCTAAAATGGAGCCGAAATATTCAGAAATAATTAAACTTACTTATTTTTATATTATTAAACATTATATATTCTTGAGCAATATTATTGTTTCAGCGTCGACTCCTAATACCTCGTGAATTATACTTATTGTTCTTTATTCTAATAATTTGACTTTATAAGCTTTTTTCTGTTTTGTGAAAAAATTGCATGAAATATAGGAGTTTATGCGTTATAATATTTTTTGGCCTTCTGCCTATCTCTTTAAATATTCATAAGAAATTCACAAAAATTATAAATTAACATATATTCCTGATTTATTAGCTCTCTTTAAATATGTCTAATGTGACCAGATATTTTCGGATACAAAGCGAAACAACTTTTGGGAGATAAAGGAGACTGTATGTAATATAGATATAAATAATTAATTTTTTTTAATAATACTATTATTCTCTCTCTCACTCTTTCTCTTTCTTGTTTTGACATGTTTAGCAGGACAACGAAACAAAGTGGGATTGTCCTGTTGAAACTCTGAAAGCGAGACGTCTGGTCACATTTAAATATGTCTCAACTAATTTAAGTCGCTCCAATGATTCGACCATCAATACAAAAACTTTATAATTCGCTTTCATTTTGAATTAAAGATAATTTTCATATTAAAAAAATAAAAGTACAAGTCCACCATATTGTACTAATCATTTAAAAGTATATAAAAGCGGAGAACAAATAATATTGTAAATAAGGAATATATCAAAAATATTATATTCAATTAATAAGAATATACATTCATCTCTTTTTTTCATCGGTTTCTTAGATAAATGCTTGATTGTTTATTACGTAAGATTGTTTATTCTAGAATGTGATAATTACGAGATTTGGCTTTAGGATTGAACGGAACAACCCTCTTATCATGTAATGCTTTGCGTCAAGAAATATTCGCAAATATACTCGTTGTTAGTAATAGAGTTCAACACGGGTTATCATTCAGGGGTAAAAAAGTCATCTAATCTCCGACCCGGCACCATCACTTGGTTCTTTGCCACTGACTTTTCGTCATTGGTTCACTCGATAAACATATTCTTTTTTCCTTTCTTTCTCATTTTCGCTTGCTCTGCCTGCATATGTTGGCGTTATTCACCCTCTACTTTTTTCTCACAATGTGTGATTCGGCTCCCTCTCTACTAGCATATTTTCATAGCAATTCTTGATAAAATGATTCTTGAAAACAGTATAAATAGTCCAACTTTGATGTTTCATACTTTCGAGTGAACAGCTAAGCCATTAAACGGACGTTTGTTCTTCGGTAACGCGATTTTGTTTATTTTACTTGCTCTTTCTTCTTGCAGTTCTTATATTTTCTTGTCATTTTATATTCGGTGATCTTGGTGTACAGTTTTCATGAATATGTATTTTATTTTATGCAGATTTCATGCTTGTTATTATTCTCTCGCGAAAGTAATCAGTGATTTTTGAAAATTTCCAAGTGATTTCTGTGTTACAGACAAATAAATGTGTCGTGAAAGATAAAACGTGTTAGAAACAATAAAAGATTTTTACAATTTTTTTATTATTAAATTCATATTAGAACATTAAAAATAATATGTAACTTAAATGTATTCGATATTTTCGAAATATGATATATTTCAAAAAGAGAAAAATCTGATATTTTTTGATATTTAAAAAATATAGATTTTTTTATAACACTTGAATTAATTCAGTTGAAAATATATTTTTTATAATATAAACTGTTTATTATACGTAAAACTTTATCGCAAAGAGGAACAGTCTGGTAACATCCAGTTTAACTCCTCTCTAGCGGTTATATCCAGTTTCAACTCGTACATTTTCATTCATTTTTATAAAATAAGTGTGAAATATATTTTACTGAAATTGAAATAAATAGAGAAATCTTGCGTCATTTATCTGATGCGAAGTAATACTTTTATTATAATTTTATTTTCCCATATTAAACAAAAATAGCAAATTTTGGGTCATGTATAAGATTCTATTGTCGTTCATACTTTCATCTTAGAAAAGTTCTGTCTATGTTTTTTTGTTAGAAAAGTTCTAACAATATTCTCTTCTGTTTAAATAATCATTTTGATAACGTCCATCTATTTGTATCTCTCATCACAATTTCAAAAATGCAGACTTCAAATAAATCGTTAAAATAAACCATAATTCTATATTTCAGGAGCGCAGCGTTTTACCCAAATATCCGAGGGTTTCCCCGGTCATCAGACCTTCGCCGTCCAGTTCTGGGTCCACCCTAGACTGTTCATCGAACACCACCCTCGTGACCAACACCAGTCCCTTCAACAGCCAGACCGCCCTTATCACCGAGAAAAGATACTTCTCCGGCGACACCGGCAAGGGATCCAATCACTACTATGCCGAGAACTTGAGGAACAATCATCAAAAGGCTTTAAACAGGTCGCGGATCTATGATCCGCTCAATAAAAATCAAGACGTCGATTACAAGCAGCTAGATCCACTACTACCGAGCGAACAAAATTCAAGCATCAACATCCTCATGGATCCCCCAGACGTGAAAGAACCGAAGGATTCGCAAGAACCATTGCCATCCTTGGAGTTCAAAAGGGAACCCGAACAATCATGGTTACGATTTGCCGCCCAGGTAAGTTATCATATATGTTTCATAGATTTATATGGAATTCTTTTCAATACTTGAATTCGTTGAGCAATTCCAAGATTATATTTTAAAATAAAAAAATATGCACAATTTTTCTTTTATTGATAAATTAATAAAAATAAAATTAAGAATAACTGCAGCTAATCGGATCAACAATATACAGGGTGGGCCATCTATTGGTACGTTTTTAAAAATGCGATCAAATGAGCATACATTGATATTTTTTATTAATTTTTTTTTTGTTGTGAAGCTAAAAGTATCCGCGTCAAGAATGAAAAACGATTTCGTTCATGTGGCTCCCTCTACTGGCCTTACAGTATGCCATTCGGTCACCCCAATTATTAATATAAATTCAAAAACGTACCAATAGATGGCCCACCCTTTAGCACCGCTTACTCTATGAGCTCTGTTTTCAATTTCGGTAAGGCAGGATGTTATCAATTATATGGGAATTGAAGTTACCCGAGTTAACGAAAATAAAAAATTAGGCCGCAATATAGACTTTAATATAACATAAAAAAAATAAGAAAATCAATTTGTTCTTTATTTCATGAAAGAAAGGAAATGAAGAAATTGATTGGTTAATTTTCTTATATATTATGCGTTATGCATAGCAGATTTTGTGCTCCCTTACGAATCACATGTTGAAAAATAATAAGCAATACGTGCAAATAATAATTTATGAAGAAACTCACACATGTTCCTCATACATATTTGTGCATGTAATATTGCCTATATATGTATAGAGGCAAGTGTATTTCGTTACTATTTCATAAATCGTTCAATGTGATTAAGTTGCGGTTAAAAAAATTACAATACATCAAAATTTCAATTATCATAAAATATTCATGTTTACCCATTAAAGATCTTCCTTCCTTCTTTACTGTTAGAAGTCATGTCTTCGAGAATAAACTGCTGGATTTAAGACTTCTGAGTAGTCGCCGCGGCCATACTGAATCGTGATGTCACAAGCGAGAAATGATACGTTAATTTGTGTTATATGCCGTTTGTAAATAAAGACAATTTAAATAAAACGAAATTATGACATCGCTTTAAAACACCTGTCAAAATGGGTGGAAGCTAGCTCCTTAGCCTCCCTGACAGTCAGTAAATAGTCATAAAAAATGGTAAAAGACAAGTGAAGTCCGTTTACTTAATACGTATGCGTAGCTGTACACTTTCACGTGCGTAGCTTTTCATTTTCACGTGCCTTTTACGACTATTTACTGATTTTAAAAAGAGGAAGAATAGCGTTGATCTATTTTAAAACCGTTTTAAAGCGATCTCATTTTGTTTTATTCAAATTGTTTTTATTTACACATATAATAAAAATAAATATATACTTATAATAAAGAAATGTTTACTTAAAATTATTTAAAAAATATTACTTAGATTTAGAATTTTTTTTTAGTGTATGTACATAGTTTGTTTAAAGTATAAATATTAATACATTTGTAAAAATGACTCAAATACATCTTTAAGGACTCGCACGACATACAGTAGTATGACCACATGTACGGTCCGACGACGATGCGTCATTCTTTATTTGCGTACTTCACAAAATTTATAATATCACAACATGTTTATAGAAATTACGTAATTTTCTTCGTATAAAAAAAAACTGTAATTTAAAAAAACTAAAAAAACATATATAAAATGAGGCTCGAAAGAATCTATCAGTGAAAAAACTCATCGGTGCCTACATCAACTGTTCAGATGCACAGAAAATTCTTTATTTTCGTGTGAATGTAACAATACGAATAAAATAAACGTTTCGACCCTTCAATTCGGATCTTTATCAATATAAACTATAAACAGAAATTATATAAGCGGATAAAGAAGAACGAACTAAATTGTCCGGAATTATCAACCTGGAATTTGCATTATTTATGTAATTTCTGCTTATAGTTTATATTGATAAGGACCCAAATTGAACAGTTGATATAGACTCCGATAGGTTTTTATACATTTCACTGATAAAAACTAAAAAAGTCACATCTCTATATAAAAATTACTTGTTTATATAAAAATCTTTATATAAAAGTTACTTCGCAATACATTAATTACATGTTTTTTTTTGTTTCACAATAAATCATAAAATAGTTAACAAATTATTTAATAATTAATATCGGAATAAATTAGCAAAATACATTATTTGTTATATATATTATATATTATACAAAAGCCTTTTATTAGTTAATAAAATTGTATGTATCTATTCGCGTTTATATTGAATTTTTATATTCACATATTAAAGATGAATTTAATACTAAAAACTCAAAACATTTTTTCAAAAATATTTATATGAAGTCGGAATAATTTTTGTTGTAGTGAAACTAATGAAGTATTCATACATGAATTGGAACGTTTACACATTAAACATTTGTTCTATTATATGAGTATAATTTAATTATTGCGCGCCGAAATCTATTACGCAATCGAAATGATCGGCGTAATTGTGCAAGAACAAGAAAGGATGAATGAAAAGCAGACGCAACCCTGTAACAAATATCGCAACCTTGTATAACGTTGAATATTATACTTTCCTTGAGGTTGCCATTGACATTCATGGTTAATGGCACCATAAGCGCCGTCAGAATTTCTCAATTGTTATATTATTTTGTATTACACGGAAAATCAATTTATTTACGTGAACTGTTCGTAATTAAAAACAGATGAAAGTTACTTACATAGAAACAAAATGCGAAAATTGTATCTTCGCATGTATTAGAATTTGTTCACGTATTTATATTTACACATTCGTATAACATATTTAATATTCAGTCAAACAAAAAGGCAACGTATGAAAAAATACCTTCATTTATATAATAAAAGTGTTTTACGCCATCAAGCGATGAACATTTATCGAGCAAGAAATCAATCTTCACGAACAATCGTATTCCCGCTGTGCATATATTAGAAGTAACTGTAGTTGTAATTATTTATTGCATTCATCAAGTTTTCTTGCTAAAATTTAAACAGACTATGATGAATGATTTTGATATCAGCAAATATTGTATGTCAGCTTAATTATAATAATTAATAATCGCGCGCGCAAAATAACATGGTACATTAAAATTTACATGTGTAGTGAGATATAATGAATTAAAAGGAAAATCATTTCCTGTGTAGACAAAAGCAAAAATGATTACAGATAATTTATTTGTAAAATTGGAAAATTGAGAAATTCATTAAATGTTCTAGATTTCAGTTTTAAATTTGCATCAAGTCATTAAAATTTAAGTATTAAACGAAACGATTATTGCATCATTAGAATGATGAAAAAAATAGTTAAAAAATTCGAAATATAACAATTATATGTGTTTAACAAAGAACATCCTACATATAATAAACATATCGTATATATTATATTGACGAAAAATATTTCAAGAATTATGAAAATTATGAAAATGCTAATGCAATTTTTATTTTTTAGCCACTTTTTTCTCTCTATCATAATCGACATAAATAGAAAAAAAAATAGAAAAAAAAACAATGAATAACTCATTTTTTATATTAATTGTCGAATTGATAGGCATACTTGTAGAATAATGTTCTTGTTATTGCATTAAGTAACGAGCCGATTGAATGAATAATAAAATACTTAAGTCTTTATTGATACAGTATACACAATGTATGCTGTATTAAACTCTTTATTATCGTCAGTCTAGTCATTATTGATACAGTAAACAATATATCAAAAGAATACAGTAAATATGAACAGAGATTATATACTATGTATGTCTGTATGTCTAGTCTTCATTGATACAGCAAACACGATATATCAAAAGAATATAGTATATATAAACAGAGATTACATACTATGTTAAGTGCATAAAGGAATTCAATGATTTATATTTATCTTTATCGATAAATGTACTTAGCATATATATAGTTTACATTGCATATACTATAAAATTAAAAATAAATGTGCATTTATGGTAAAAGTAAAGTGTAAATGCGAATATGTATTTATGAATTCTCATACTTGTCTCTAATAATAGTTTTTGTAGTTATTCTATGATACTTTTCGTTAAAAATATTTCAAATGGTTAAATATTATAATTAAATAAATGATATTCTTGCAATCCACTGACATTTGTGATTTGCATTGTTGCTTCTATTTTATTAATATTTAAAAACAATGTAAAATTTTTCAAGGAAAATGCAAATATATGAAAATGAAATCTGTGATGTAATAATAAGATAGGTGTAACATTTTCATGAATGCAGCCATTTTCATGTAAACAGCCAATTAAATTTGAGCCTAAATATCGAAAAACAATATAGTTGCGAACATGTCAGAAAAAATGGCATGTCATTTTTTTACATGTAAAAAAAAATCATAATTCGTAAAGTTCTAAAAAAAAAATTACATTTATATAACTCGCTCGTTATATTACATATCTATTTCAAAATAATTATAACGATTTAGGTGTTCCCATAAAAATATTTCAAATTTCGAGAATGCATTTGGACCCAAATTCGATTAGTTGTTTTCTTACATCATGAAATATGTTTTCAAAAACAAGATAGTATCAAAGAAATTGCTTTAGAGATGCTATAACCAATAATTTTTATATTGAATGAGAGTTTCATTACATTTCGAAATTACTCCAGAAAAATCTATGCTAAAACATACATATACTCCTCTTCATCTCGCTCGAAATTTGAATCACGTATTGTCTTGAAGGCGCGAAACAAAGATGCGAAACGAAGGCATCTTATCAAATGGATAGTATCTGCGATCATCTGATATGGGAGTAGTGATCTACGAAGTTTTCAACGACGTGACTTGCGAGGAGAAGGGATGGCCGGCCCCCAGCATTGCTCTCTATATAAAATCACCCGTCGCGGTCCACAAGTGTCAATAGTTCGTATTATACTGTGACATCGAAAACTTCTACTAGCATCAGTGTGCGATCAATATCCATTTTTTTATTATCAATTCAATCAAATCAATTAGTATCCGATCGATGATATAGGAGTGAATTTTCATCTCTTGTCTCGAACACGGTTTGAGACTCTCGAAAGGTTAAAACTCGATTTCTTCCACAATCACGTTTGCCGAGATTACATCCCCGATATAAAAACGCGAATTTTCAAGTTACGGACTTTCAGAATCGATCTACCATTGTTACTCGACGAAACAAGCAGTAATGACATTCTCCATAATTCGGACAGATTTTTTATTAGAATTAGAAAGTCTCTAATCAGAATAAATTCGCTTATTGTCAGTTTATCCTATTGGTATTCGAATAATATTTGGAGCAATCCGGAAATTTTTGATATTTTACGATTCTGGTTGCCATCACGAAACGCAATTGTAGTGGTCTTCGCGTGTAGTTGGAGAACAACGCTGTTTGTTTGAATCGAACAAACGATTCGTACTTAGATTGGTACTGAAGTTTCATTAATCGGAAAATCTTGTTTGCAATCGGAATTACAAAATAGTGTCATAATAGGTTCCTCGATTTATCCGTAATCATGAAACTTCTTCTGCGAGCGGACACTTACGTAAACATCGAATTGCCGGTAAACACGCCTACAGCAAAATGCACAATCACCCAGGTAAAAAATTAATCAAAATTTTTCTTTGTTAGGTTCTTTAGATTTTTTTTTGCTATTAATAATTGAATATATAGCTATTTCCCATGTAAAGGCTAATAAAAAATGTATAATTTTGTATAATTTTTATGTTTTGAACATAATCTTAGGTAATCCTTGGATTCATAAATGTTATGTATAATATCAGAATTTATGTAATTGTGCACTCCACTTAATAATATTGTACTAATTATTTTAGTTTCAGATTTCTTCTAAAATTAAATTATATTAGGTTGAGTAAAAAGTCATCGCGTATTTTTTAGCTCAAAGTTGTATATACAATATCTTCGTCAATAATGAATGAAATTCAAATTTAAAAAAAGGGTTTTAAAGCTTGAAATCTCTACTTTTAAAAGCTTATCACATTTTTTAAGTTTATATGAGTTTGATAATTTTTACATACCAAAAATTACGAGCTGAAAAAGACGAAAAATTTTCTTCTCACTTTGTGGATTTGTAACGTGTCCAAAACGAATTTGAGGAAGTTTTCGATTACCTATCGTGAAAGCTTGATACTTTCCTTACAAAATCGTTTTTTTTAAATATTCCTACGATTTTTGATTACTGAGTTATCGCGGATTAAATAAAAGAATGATTTTGACTTTAATTGCTCATAACTCCATTAAAAATTGTCGTATCGTATAATTTAAAAAAGAGATTTTTAAAGCTGAAACTTTACTCTATCAAGATATATTTATATTGTTGGTAAGAAAGTAATTGCGGTTTTTACTGATAGATGTCTTTTAAAAAAACGCGATGACTTTTTACTTAACCTAATAATAATCTTGAAAATATAAACACAATTTTTCAATTAAAAATTATTTTTCTCGAAAACTGTGCAATTATACAGTTGAACAAACTTAATCAGTTTTGCTTTTCTTTCAAGAAGAATAACTTCTTTGGTGATTGTATTATGATTTTTATTGATCATACGTAAGATTTTGTATATTATAGTCATATTTGAATATACAAGGATTGCGAAAATAAAAGAAAATTTTTTATGTGAATGTCGCAATCTTTTTCGGCATGATTTCTATAACGCAAATCATACAATTGATCGAATACCAATTAAATTATTGCATCGATCTCGACTCTTTACTATTTTAAAATAGATTCTACATGCATAATAATTGCGTACAAAGAAAATATACTCGACAACGAGACATAAAAATATCCTCACAATTTCTACATTTCTTTTCTACGCGACAGATTTAAAATTGCATTTACTCCGATATCTATTGATACTTCTAATTCACCTTACCGATTGAATTTATTCGGACACATTTATAAGTCAATTCTATGTAGAATAACTTTGTTCTCCTCGTAAGACTTGTAAGAACCTATGACTAAAATGCTTATAAATTTATGCAGTAGCAAACAGCTTCTTACTAATCGTAAGATTTACGAGAAATCATAGATATACACGAATAACCGTACATCTTATTGTATAACGCATAGAATTACAACTGAAGTCATAAGTTCTATAAATCTTACAAGAACAAGTTACGGGCCTTGTGATGCCTATTCTGCTTAGAATTGACTCATTGATCTTCGATTCAAATTTAAAGAGATTTTTAATTTATAAGTAGGTGCGCCTGTAAAAGAGTCAAACTTCACGATCAGACCTTCGTACATTTTTCATGCGATTTGTGATCTGTTTGCAGATATTAGCTGCATTATCGGTGTCGTTGGGTTCAATGCAAGTTGGCTATTCGTCTTCCTATACATCGCCAGCGCTGGTGTCCATGCGTGATAATGCTACAGCAAGCTTCGAAGTCACCAAACAGATGGTGAGTCCTGCTGACATTTTTAAATATAATTCGCTCTATCCTTAACTCCTACGCGTTAAAAATTTATTGTACAGAAAGACAAATCGCGCATATGCTTTACATTCGCCATTTTACAGAATTCGCCAAGTTTAGCAAAAGCTACGTAGGGAAGCGATCTCCAATGAACGTATTTAATAAAAGTATTCAAAATAAAGCCGCAATCTGCGAATACACGACCATGAAATCATACAAATCTGATTTTATCGGAAGTGGAAGATTGTGGGAATTGGACACGGTTTCTTGAACATCTAAATTGCCAATTATATGCATTAACTGTTTAGCGGTAGCATAACAACTCGAACAACTATTCGTGACTCACTTTTTTGCGAAATCAAAAAGTGTCTTTTCAGAATCGCTTGATATTTTCATTTGATCTATAGTCTAATCAGTAGCTATGTTTTAATACCTATGAATATTATTTTCAAAGATTAATTTTATTATTTATATCTTTTATGTGAAGTTATCAGAGAATGCCAAACCGATATTATGACATCATTTTCTTTATTTCTGCATCGCAAACAGATATCGCAATAGGGTACGTTTCTGTACCCGTTTAAAGACATTTTAATTAAATTTATGATGTCAAGGAAAAATCCGACGGGATTGTTTATCGGCGACGCGTTGCGGATCAATACAAAGTAGAAGCCGAAGTTAAGCGTCAATGATAAATGATGTAAACGCGTCACTTATAAATTATCGCGTTCTACGCATGCGTATGAAAAGGTACGACCTTCGTTATTCAAAGGGTCAATGGATAATTAAAAGGTTTAACCTCAAGTGCGTCATTGATGTCTGGTCAGGGGCACGATGACCTGATTGCGATCGTATTGGCGAAGGAGCCGTTGTGCCCCAGTGGCCGAGAACGCGATTGGTCATCTCGCTAGACACGCCGACTTCGTCATAAAGCCTCAACATCGTGACGATATCGGAAATTAATCCCAGATATGTAAGCAATTCCGCATTCAAAAGTGAGCCTCGCAAGCAGTGATGTAGGATATTCGTTTCGGGAAGCCCGCTTTAATAAATTTGAGAATGAAAGGCAACAAAATATTATTACAATGACTATTTTTTTAACATGCCAAAATATAATTAATTGTTTAAAGAGCTATATACAAATTATATTTGAAAATTATAATTGCTCTTTCCTGTCATAAAAATTATTCGTTTATATTAAGATTATCCTGAGTGGAATATTTTAATTAATGCATAATTTCTGTGCGATGATATACTAAGATTTAAGTAAATTTATTTTTAATCTTTAGTATAAAATATATTTTTGTATCTATTGGTAAAAATAAGAAAGCATAACTACTGATTGTGCGAATTTATTTTTGTAGTATTCTCAAAATAATATATTTCTAAATATATATATTTTGTTTTTATAAATTAAAAATAATATAAATATTTAAAATATTCTAATAATTAGATTTTTTAGTTATATTCTAATAATTAATTTAAAAATAATATTTTATTAAAGTCTATCTATCTATCACAATAAAATCTTTACCAACTGATTTTGTAGTAACAATTATCATAACAATTATTCCGCGTTTAGTTATCTCATTTGTAATAAAGATTTCGTAATTCGTTTCTGCGTTGCCGTAACTTAATTAAAATACACGACAACGGATGAGCAACCAAAATGGTTGCCCTTCGCAATTGTTTTCCTTGACATTTTGCGGCTTTCCGACCTTATTTGTATTCGAAGGATCTACGATGAATAAAACTATGCTTTAGTATACATAGTTGTTATTCGAACAATGAATTTAAATGATCAAGGACTGTCGATACGCGTAGCATGATATATAATCAATCTAAATCTTTTCCAATCCCGAATCGCTTCTGTACATAGCAATAGTAAATTTTAACCATTATAAGGAATGTCTGTTCAAAAAAATTTTAATTATATATTAAAAGTTTAAGACATATAATACATTCGAGCAGAAGATTATTAAATTTTTAATATCACTTGTATGTGCATATGAAGAATATTGTGCAATTAATTTCAAGACTTTGATTAACTTTAGACATGTTCTATTTGATAGTTGATTAATTAATTGACAATTAGAAACTTGCAATAAATAATGTCTCAGAAAAATCTATTTTAAATTTAATTGTGAAATTTTATAAATTATATTAAATTTATAAATTATATATCATTCCAAATTTTTTATATTACAGAGCATGTGGATTGGGTCACTTATGCCATTGAGTGCACTTGTCGGTGGCATCGCTGGAGGACCGCTCATCGAATATATAGGAAGGAAAAAGACAATACTTGCTACAGCGTTTCCATTTATCGGAGGTAAGATTATCGAAGCATATACAATATAAAAGAACGTTTATGTAATGAGATTAATATAATGTAGAGATATATATAATAAACGAACTATCGTAGTAAATAACGTTAAATAAGTCCCATCACTAGCTACCATTAATTATTTAAATTAGTTACATCGTTTCTCCCTTATATTCCGAATACTATTGCACGTAAATAGTAGGTCGTGTTATATGATGATATGATACTTTTTACAGCATGGCTCTTAATCGCGATGGCTCAAAATGTTCCGACGATATTGGCTGGGCGTGCAATATGCGGTTTTGCCGTAGGTGTTGCTTCTTTAGCGTTACCTGTGTATTTAGGCGAAACGATACAGGCAGAAGTGCGTGGTACTCTTGGTTTAATGCCCACCGTTTTTGGTAACACCGGTAAGTTAAATGGAAGATTTTAATCTTGCTATCAATTTATATGTGTACGTGTTCGTTGCTAACATGACATTCGGATATTTAAATTTGTGAATTATTTAAATATAAAAATAAATAAATATATATATATATATATTTGTAAAGTATGTCCCACAAATTCATAAAGGTTTCATATTCAATGTGCAGGAATATTACTATGCTTCGTAGCGGGTATGTATCTGGATTGGAGAAATCTGGCGCTGTTAGGTGCGAGTTTACCACTACCATTCTTGATTTTGATGTTCATAATTCCGGAAACGCCAAGATGGTACATTTCCAAGGGGGAAACAAAGAGATCCCGAAAAGCTCTTCAATGGTTGCGCGGTAAAGACACAGACATAACGGATGAGTTGACTATGATCGAGAAATTACATCAGGAATACCTCGACAGCGAGCGAAATATTTCCCAAAATCTAATCTCAGAATTGATGAAAAGTAAACACTTCAAACCTCTTCTCATTTCTTTGGGTCTAATGTTGTTCCAACAAATGTCTGGCATCAACGCGGTGATATTCTATACGGTGCAGATTTTCCGAGTACGTATTATATTAATCAGTTACCTTTCTCTACTGTCTCGCGAGTCCAATATATTCCAATAATTTTTAAATACATAATTCTCTAATCAAATCATGAAAATAAAAATGATGAACTAATGCACGAAATAAATGCCAAATAAATCTTTAAATTTTGAGAAATACAGTCCGACACATAATAATCAACGAACATTTTTTTTTCAGGACGCTGGTAGCACAATTGATGAGAACCTTTCGACCATAATCATTGGGTTAGTGAATTTCATGTCCACCTTCGTCGCCGCGTCTGTAATCGACAAGCTGGGCAGGAAGATGCTGCTGTACATAAGCGCCGTGTTGATGGCCCTGACCCTCTTCTCCCTTGGCGGATTTTTCTACGTGAGGTCAATGGATGTGGACGTGACGGCCTTCGGCTGGCTGCCACTGGTCAGTTTGATCGTGTACGTGATAGGCTTCTCATTGGGCTTCGGGCCTATTCCTTGGCTGATGATGGGTGAGATCCTGCCCGCCAAGATCCGTGGCTCCGCCGCGAGCATCGCGACCGCCTTCAACTGGATGTGCACCTTCATTGTAACAAAGACCTTCGAGGATGTCATAGGAGTGATCGGTGCGCATGGCACCTTCTGGATGTTCGGCATAATCGTCGTGATAGGCTTCTTCTTCGTGATCGTCAGTGTACCGGAGACTCGCGGCAGGTCGCTCGAGGAGATCGAGAAGAGGTTCACAGGTCCAACTAGAAGGATGAGCGCAGTCGCCAATATGAAACCGACGCCGATGTCGTGTTAGCTGCTGAACTTCCGATCGCGACGCGCGATAAAGAAATTCGTTCGAGTAAAAAATAGGATTCCTTACGGTGTCCTTCTAAGGGAAAGATTCCCTTACAGATATGCTTTCCCTTAAAGGGAAATTCGAAGGAAAGTTCAGGTTCGAAGGTTATACTTCTCTCTTCTATGTAAAGAGAAGCGTCTGTTCTTCCTTCTTGGCTTTTCCTACTTTACTCTTATTTCCAAGACGTTCGGCTCCCTTTTCGCGAGATATATTTGTTATAATAAAGTTAGAGCGAAAGAGTGATTCGGAAATAACCGATAAAAGATAGAAATCGATCGTAGATCTGAATAGCATGTAGAAATACGCGGACAGAAGTGCTTCTCATAAAATTCACATCTCTTTAAACAAGTTGAAGAGGCACACGATTGGGTGAAAAGTTCTATCAATTGAGAAATTTAGTGCAATAGCGATTTCGTAAAAGATCTATATTTTAAAAAAGTTGCTTAACATAATTCCTCGACTGTACTTTTAAACAGAATCTTACGATATAAGATATAAAAACACATTGTCTTCGTTCGTTCGCTTCTTCAATTAGTCTCGTGAAACATGACTTCGGCAGATTTCGCTTTAACCGTATTCCTATCCAATATCAGAGAATCAGAGCTAACAAATTAGTGCCAATTTTGTCGAGAACCCAAATTGCGAGGCCAATTAAGTAGCTTCGTGGAATATAAATGTGTTACGCTTTCCCACCGGCAAAATATGTGACTATCAGCTGTTGACTAGGTGTGTAGTTGCAATTGTTTTATTATTCCCGACAGTTCTACAGGGCCTACCTCAAGTTGATACTGCTCTATTAGAGTATAGCAGATAATACTGTCATTAGAGATGTACGCGTAGGTCAACGCTAGTCGCGCGCGAGCGCGCGTTTCTTTTTTTATAGCGTAATTTGCGTGGGGCTGTGGTATCGCATAGGTTCTATGTGATACAATTAATCGTCACGTGCACTTTGAATTTGAATTAAAAGCACGCGTAACATGTGTGTACTTTTATATGTATGTATGCATATATGTATATATATACATACACACATTATATGCCGACCAAGAAACCGGTCTTTCGAACAGAGGCGAATTTCCCATGCGACGTTAAAATAACGTTTAAAACCAATCGCGTTCTCGTCACAGTAATTACGAATTGTAAATAGTCGAAGAGATTTACGCCATAGTGATATTATTTACGTCCAAGAAAAATTGTCGTTGTTAATTTCAATCATAACTGAACAATTATTTTTCTATTGTCTCTTTCTTATTTTTAGACGAAATTTAGAAAGACATAGAGAGGAAGAATAAAAATTGAGCTTTGATTGTAGTTAATCAGCGTTGAAGAAATTGATCGTAAGTGGAACGATATGATTCTAGCAGCCCGTATTATCGTAATCTTCGTATTAAACTAATGATGCTTGGTATCGGATGGCTGTATCAATGTGGAATGTGATTTTAAATGTACGTATATGTTAATTTAAGCGTTATAACACATAGCAGATATATATTTTTAAAGCGACGGATTACGAAAAGTGGATACGTAGTTGTAAAGTCGAGATGAAGTTCTTAGAAAGTTACGTAAGAATATGTAACGCTGAAGGAAAAAACCTCAGACAAATGTAATATAATCGAGTCGCCTATGTTCGAAAGTTAGGGTAAAGCTGCGTCGAGCACCTGACGAGTGTTCTCGGTCAAGTAATTTAATAGAGATTCGCTGGCAAGTTGTTATGAGAGATGTTATATAATACTATATAGAGGAATACATTATTTATATATTTTACATAAATTATTGATACATATTTATATATATTTGTTATCAACAAATTTATCGCCTGAGATTGTAAAAAAGAGAATTATGTACACACATTGAAAAAATCTATTTTATATATTTTTCACAAAGGAAGATATATTTAAAAATTAAATAAATCAAAATTGATTAAGAAATTTATTTTTAGAGGATATCAACAAAAATTAAAACGTTCGAAAAACATCAGCATTGTACTTTGCGATGTCTTTTAACCGTTTGCATTGTCTATATGAAGTGAAATATTTAACAACTTATAGCCAATGTAAATATGTAAGTTTTATTATCTATTCCGAATTACTGCATGTGACCGGGTACATTCGCAGTATGTTTGGCACGGTGCAAACTAAATGCATATCATAATCGACAACTGTCGAAATAAGTTGGAAAACGTTAAAAATCAAGTATACGTTTTTATAAGTTTATCAGAGTGTGTGCTTGTAGTTGCGTGCGTCCGAGTAGAAAGATTCCATTAGTAGAGAATCTTGTTTGATAGAAGTGTAAGAACGTCATACGGAACATTTCTCGTAGTTTCTTTTCTCTCTCGCATTTCTAGGCTGCGTTCCAATATTCATAGCCAATACTGAAAATCTATACGGAAAGAACGATTTTTGCCAAAGTATCTAAAAATTTAATCAGATTTGAAAATAATTTTGTTGGTGATTAAAATAATTATGTAGGATGCTCAAATTGATTGCTAGAATGACAAAACTTTTTGTAAAAGTGCTCATAGTGCTTAAGATACCTATGTAATTATTTTAATAGTTCAACACAATTATTTTCCAATCTTTATGTAGATATACAATATTTTTAATACTTTAGTCAAATCTTCCTTTTCTAGTATGTACGTACGTGCACTACAGATTTTGCAGCACTGAACGTTAGAATGCCTTAGTATCACAATAAACATCGTTTGCAGCACGCGAAATCTGGTTTCGCGTAAAAGTAAGTACCGCACGAACAAAATCCACGCCAAAGTCTCATTTTAAAATTGCGAAAATAAACATTCGAACAAAAGACCATTCCTTTTACGATTGTGCGAAGTTCAATGTACGACTCACTTTGATATCATGTAAAGCAATAACTGCACAATATCTTGTTTTATATAAGAGTTAAGTACATTATTATTCTCCTTCGTAGTACAACAACCAATCACGGCATTTCTTTGTTTCTTATATTTACTGTTTATATTTGTTGCTGTAAGTAATACCTGCCGCTTATTCATAAGCTATTTGCCAAAGCACAATGAAGACGGCGGAATATTTTTGATAATTTAATACTCATATTAAGTTTACGAATAACTTGTAAATTATTATGTGGTATAATTTTAAGATTATCTACAGATATATATAAAATATGATACATTTATGTAAAACTGTTGCTTTAATTTTTTATCTTTCCCTTTTGATATTTTTATATAATAATATTATATTAGCAATGTTATTCAATTTTTCTATTAGATAAAGACGCATAATTACAAAAGCAATTAATAATGAAATAAGAATAAAATTTATATATAAAAATGCTACATGATATATAGTAAAAACAAAATTCATAAATCAAAATATAAAAATTCTTAAAAAATTAAATCTGAATAAAAAGCAGATTTTAAATAAATATATATAATCTCAGATGACTCAACCGACAATCAGAAGTAAACATTCTACATTTTATAATAAAATAAATAATAACATAGAGATTCTTTGTATCTCGTGTTGATGTTATACACTCATTTGAACTCATAAAAAATGATACAACTTAAGTTGTTTACGAAAGGTACATTCGGTTTCATGCATAATGCATATCATGTATCATTTTATCCTTGTTGCTCATTAAATATTAAAAGAGGATAAAATAATATAGCATGCGCCTTGTGTGAAAAAGATCGCATTCAGCGACATTTTGTATCACAAATAAATAGGTAAGACAAAACAGAATATATCAAAAACATATTTTGTTAAGTATTTGTCGTAAATTCTATCGAGTTTAATAATATAAATCATGATCGTATTGTGCAGTAAAAATTAATTTTTTTTTTTACTAGAAAAACACAATATTATGTCACTTATATATAAATTTCTTATATTTAAGTTTCTACTAATGTAGATTTATTGCAATCTCGGTTTAACTTTTTTTTCTCTTTGTCTTTTTTTTAAGTCTAAGAAAAAATAAAAAATAAATTAAATTGAGATGAAAGTTAATTATTCATTGATTATCTATGATATGTTTCATTAGGAAATAATAGATTTTGGTTGATTTGATGTGTAATTATATTTTGGGTATCAATCATGAAACTTTATCCCTAGGATGGAAAGTGAAAAGTGAAAATTTTAACCATTGAAGTTAATGGAGAAATTTTTCACTTTTCACTTTTCATCCTAGGAAAAAAATTTCATAATTGATACCCTATTTACATATTATTTTATATTATTGGCATAAAAACAAAATTTTGCGTTATTGGGAATATGATAATGTGCCTTTCTAACAATATATATTAATTTTAATCTGGATTTAACTTTTTTAAAATTTTTAGAATTAGAAAAAGATGAAGAATAAAAGTTAAACTAAGATTAAATCTACATTAGTAGAAACTCTAGTAGAAATGAAAATAAATAACACTTTTTGCTGTTGTGTTTTGGAGTAAAAAATATAAATTAATTCTTACTGCATGAATGTCAGCGTGATTACATGATTAACGCAACGTTTTCTATAACAGAGCGAAATAGATAAGATAGAAGATAAAACCGGGAGCGAAACGGTGCGGAGTTCACAAAAACATAACCAAAACATAGCTTACCCATAACCTGGACTCTGCATATGGCACAGGTGTCACACTCGACGTCCCAGCTCCACATGGCCACGGCATTCCATTTCTTCAGAGTAAACATCTTATCGTTCTTCTGATTGTCGCCATCGATTCGATCACCCAGGTCTTGTTCGGAATCGCCCATGGTTTGAGGTTAGAAACGCTAGCGGAACGCAAAACAATGCGAGATAAACGCGATCCGATCAGCGCAATCATGAATCAGTAGGTCCACAACTCCACACACTGTAACGTCTGTGATACACGCACAGTAGCAATGATCAGTGATAATAGTAATGTAGTCGCGGCCGTTGTGCTGTTTTGCACCCAATTACGCTACTTGCACCGATTGCGGAATCCGAACACTCCCGCGCATGCGCGGCACCAATGTATGCATATTCTCTAAATTCTTTGGAGTAGAAATTTACTCTATAAAAAATAAAGTCAGTCTTGAATAAAAGTGGCTCTATTTTCAATCTTAAGTGAGATTTCACTTTTCAGAGTGACAATTTACTCTAAAAATTTTAGAAGGTTTGTATACTTATCTTGGCCGAATTCAAAAATTCACTGCCGTACACTAGCGACATCAACATCAATTTTTTTAAATGACGCGAATTACGTATCACGTTATCAACAGACGACACTGTTGATGAAGCGTCGAAAAATTGAATTGCAAAATAAATTTATAAACATATATTTAATGTTTTTATGTGAATAATTCAATGCAGTAAAGAATGCAGGTAAGAAAAATTAAACTTCTATTATATATAATTGTGACTATTTGAAAAAAAAAAGTAAAAAATGAGAAGGTTATGCACGTGTTCATCTCGTGTTTTCTCTTGCTCACGTGTGTTGGTCGTACATTAATTATATTCCGTATTCACAATTTATATTTATCTATGATAATTTTTCCTAGGTTAGTTGAACTAGTCAAAGAAGTTTACTTATCTTAAAAATGAAAATGAAAAAAATGAAACAGAAACTTGTTAAATCATCAGGAAAAAAGACAATGGCAGTTAATACAAAAAAGAAAACAAATTTGAGCAAATTAACTACGAAAGAATTCTTTGAGCAAGATTTTGAAAATAATGGAGATAGTGATATACATGATAGTGATGAAACAAGTAAAAACACAGGTATGATTCAAAATATTAGAATTTGTTTGATATTTTAGGCAACTTCAACTTTATGATATTCTTTTACATAGATGAAGATGATGAGCTTGATAGTGATATTAATAGGGATAGCGATCATAGTGAGAGCAACTTGAATCCTGCAGAACATAAAAAATTATTAATGAAATTGCAAGATACTGATTTTTACAAATATATTAAAGAAAATGATAAAAATTCTTTGGACTTTGGAATATCAGATGATGATGATAATTCTTCAGTAGACTTGGATGATGCATACATTTCTGAAGAAAATTTAGAGGTATGTTTTTATTAAATATAATTTTAACTATTTTTTATACTTTTTAATAATATTATTAAATATCCAGGTTGCTAGCTACGATAGTGATCTTTCATTAGAAGAAATCGAAAGTAACTCTAAAAAAATTACTATGCAATTATTGAAAACTTGGCAACAAGAAATACAAACTGATAAGTAAGTTTTTTCTCGTTTATTTTGAATTAATAACAAAATAATAACCGTACATTATCCCTTTTAGATCAATTGATACTATTAAATGTGTTATAGAGGCTTTTCATGCAGCTTTGAATAATGTCGCAGTATCGTCAGATACAACTACGCAATATAAAATAGAAGGAAGTGCAAGTTAGTTTTGCTTTATTTTATCTTAAATCATTAATTATTTTTCAAATGATTGTATTAATTTTATCAAATATTATGTTTAGCATTTAACAGTGTGGTACAATTATGTATAACACATTTGCCTGATGCATTTAAACGTATTTTGAAACTGGATGCAGAATCGCAGAAACCACATAAATCTAGAAAATTTGAAAAAATACAAAATGTTTTGAAATTGTACTTATCAGATCTGATTAAAGTATGTATAAATAAATCCTTTATTTATATCACGCATATAAACATATATATATATATATACATATATATATATAAAATATATATGTTAATAAATATATCTATTTCACAGTTATTGCAAAGTATAGCATTGTCCAATAGTGCTATTCTCACAGTGCTTCTAAAGCATCTTCGTCAAATGTTGCCTTACTTTCAATCATTCTCATCTTCAATTAAATCATTGTTAAAAATCTTATTAGAGCTGTGGTCAAGTGGAGAAGAAACTGTTCCTGTTATAGCCTTTTTAAATATTTTGCATATTGCAACTAGCAAAGAATTTATACTTGAAGAATTATTAGAGGTAAGGTCCATACGATATGATAATGAAAATTTGCGAACATTGGTATCATTAAAGTTTTTTTTAGACTATGTATGAGAAATACGTTCAAACTATGAAATTTATTTCACTCAATATATTACCAGGAATAAATTTCATGAGGCAATCTTTACTCGAGATTTATCTGCTTGACCATAATATTTCGTATAGTCATGCCTTTTTACATATTAGGCAATTAGCGATTGATTTAAGAAACGCTGTAACATTAAAGAACAAGGTAATTGTTAAATAGCAATTATGCACTTTTTATAAAATTTATTAACATCTAAGATTATTTTCAGAAAAATCTTCAGGCTGTATATAATTGGCAGTATATAAATTCCTTGCGCTTTTGGACAGAATTAATAACCAAATCAAAGGATAAATCAATGTTACGATCGCTGTTATATCCTTTAGTTCAGGTACTTAATAAATACTTTAAACAAAATTTAAGTATGAAAGTAATGTAATAATTCAGTAGAAAAATTTAATTTTTTATAGATTATTATAGGAACAATAAAAATTAATCCAACTGCGCAATATTATCCATTGCGATTCTATTGTTTAGAAATGTTAATAACTATTTCTAAAGAAACCGGAACGTTCATACCTATTTTGCCATTTCTTCTCGAGGTATTGTTTTCATATTTTTGACGATATTTGTAATCGTAGAGTATATTATACTTTGTATCAAATCTTTTTCTTTTTAGATACTGGAGTCTTATGATTTTAATAAAAGGCATAAAACAGTTATGATGAAGATGAAACCTATATCCTTTGATTGCATTTTGAAAGTATCAAAATCACAATTTATAGAAAATGGCTTCACAGATGGTATTATTGGAACTATTTATCATCTTATACTGGAGCATGCGGCGAGTGAAAGTCATAAAATATATTTTCCAGAACTCTATACACCTTATATAATACAGGTATTTTAAGAAACAAAATTTAAAAAAAACCATAAGTAATTTGTACAATATTATATAGATATATCGAAAATTATATTAAATCAATATATTTTATCTTATAGTTAAAAGAATTTCTGGAGAAATGTCATGTAGCAATTTATTGCAAGAAAATGAAACTGCTTCTAAATATGATTGAAGAAAATAGAAAACACATCGAGACCGAGCGTAGTAAAGCAACAATAGATTTAAAAAGTATGGCAGAGATTACAAATTGGGAAAATAGAATGAAGACAGATGGCACAGCAATAGCCAAATTCTATTCTTCTTACGTTAAACTTCGTGAAACCCAAAAGCTTAAACTTCTTACGAAGAACGAAGAAGAATTCAACATATCCGTTGGGAGAAAATCAATGAAACATAAATTAGATGAGCAAAATGAAGAAAATAGCGAAGAAGATGAGTTTAAATTTCAGGTGAAAGAAACGGGATCTGAAATAAGAGCAAATAAACAATTGAATAAGAAAAAAGCCAATAAAAAGAAAAAAAGTCAATAATAAGAATTTACTAAGAAAAAACATAAGCATCAATATAAACAATAATGATTGAAATTAAAAATAAAGATAAGATCATTTTGGACTTTGGAATTAACAATTATATGTATCTAATATACGTTGTATGCTGTATGGGAATATATTTATTGTTTTATATCTAAATATGAATTTTGTTATATATATCTTTATATTTAATATAAATACATCCCTTATACAGTAATTTACTTATAATTATATATATAATAATTCTGATTATTCTACAGATATCGCGCGTACATGTTGCGTAAGATATGACCAAATCTCTTGATAACAATTTTTTTATTCAATATCTTTTATGCATAAAGCGCCTGTTGAAAAAAGAAATACTTTATGTGTGAAACGTGTATATTTTTAAATATTATAATTTTAATTTTATGACAAATAAAACTAGAAATTTTGTATACAATTAATATTTGTAATGTATATAATAATACTAATAATATAGAAGATAATTTTATATGAAAAAAAATACGAAAGATACGTAGGATGCAAAACATTTATTTAAGACTTTGATTTCAAATTAGATCAATTCTGTACATACACAATAGCTACAATTATATCTTCAGACTGTGTTATAAATTTACAATCAATTTTTTTAATATACAGGCATATCACCGACAAGTATGTAATAGACGTAATGATGATAAACTATGAAAATTTTTAAATTAATTCAACGATTTCGTTTTCTTTATAGCATTTCATTACATTTGTTTCGTTTCTAAACATAATAAACATATCATTTTTATAAAAATATATCTTTAATGACACAAAAAGCAAATGCGCAATTTTCGCTCTAATTTTATCTACTTTACAAGAAGACGTTGTTGCATGCACTTTTTTTTAGCAAGTTTCAATTTGCATGATGATACAAACAGAATATCGGACATAACTCATTATACAATATTATGATATAATTCATATCCGTATTGGAACAGATATATGTATATGTATATATATGTGATTAGCGCATACAGACTACTCGCGTCGACAATAAAACTTTTGTCGCTATACAAATTGAATAGATTTTATTTAATTCATATTATTTTATGCTGTGCTACGATGAATTTTTTAGTACAACTAGTGCATTAGCAACAGCAATATAACATTAAAACAATGTCTGATTTGTAACAATTGATGTTGACATAAAAATGAAAAAAACTGCAAATATAATATATAAGTTATTGTGACGAATATATGAATGATGATGATAAAGAAAAGAAAAAAAGAACTAAGCTCTACTATTATATGAAGGGCATATTGCTTTATTAATATATGCATATATTCGTAAAATATATACATATTTTTAGTAGCCCTTAAGAAAAAATAGTATACCCATTAATAATCGCCTAATGTCCTTTAACATATAAATTGACAGGGCGAAGTTCAAGCGTTTAAAATAAAATAAAAATTATATTCTAAAACGCATATATTTTTTTCCTTTAATCATAAAATTATTTAAAAATTCATAGTGTTTGAAACAATTCATAAATACATACTGCATCTACAATTAAGTTTACCCTAAAGAAGTGCGAGCCCATAGTTACGTAATAAGAAGAATGTAATGTAACTTTTTTGGGCTTCTCAGACATGCATCTTTGTTTACAGATCAATGGGATCAATTATGTATCCTCTAAATTTTCAACATTGCTTAAAAACATAAGCTATTTTTCTTTGCCAGCTCGATAATAATAAGAAAGACTAATATTAATAAGAAGATTAATTAGCAAAATTTTGAATTTTATATTAATAAATTATTTGTAAGCATTAATAGGTGAGTACTCGTTTGGTTCGTTTTTTGTTCGATTATTCAATTCATCTAATTAATAATCATCAGAGCTCTGTATTTGTTATCTAATAATAGAAATAGGAAAATCATGTAACATGTTTGTTATTATTTAAATCGTACAAACTAATCGCACGATATAACGTGTGTTTATATGATAACGTAACTTATATAAATGTAACCGACTGAAATGCTGCAGTATCTTAAGTTAACTTTTAATGATCTAACTAGTGATAGTAAAGCGGATTACGTTAAAAGAAAACTGGCGCAAAAAATATATGTAACTAAATTTGAATTGTACTTTTACAAAACGGTATACGACGCTTTCATGGTTAATAATTTCTTCATAAAATGTTCATGCAACTCAAAAATATTACTCGAATAGATAATCATTATTACACTTGTTAAGACTACAAACTAGTAACAAAAAACTGTAACTTTGAAAATCGTTTTTGCAAAATATTATTACATCATGAAATATGTTAGAAACTGAAATATTTCTGTATTTAGTTACAAAATGCATTCATCATTCTCACGTACCGTAATATCAGTCTATATACAAGCTAGAAGTACATAAACAAAGTTGTAGTTAAATTGCGATAAAAAGTAATCATCTCATTTAGTACTCTCTAAAGGCCATGTCATCTCATACAACACTTTAGATTATCTTTAAAAATTCTTACGGTACTGCAAACACACATTGCAATTACAGAATCTCTTTTTTCTCTCTCTTCCTTTCATTATGCAATCACAAGTGTGTGAGTGAGAGAGAGTGTGTGTGTGTGTGTGCGTGTGACTTACAACACTATTTTATATCAAAAAGATAAGAAAAGAAAGAGAGACCACACTTCCTAAATTGATGAATCTATAATTGTGTTTAAAACTAGATCATGTTGTTATATGCTTCTGATGTTCGAACTAATAGAAATTTAGTACTTAATATGTAATACAAACGTTATAAAAAGACTACTACAATTCTGCTGCTGATAACTACCTTATGCAATTGTTTACTCTCGTCTCCGTTATTACATCTTAACAATGCGGTGTAAATGATTATCTGTTTTTATTTCCAAAATATAAGTCATCTGTACACTGATAGCAAGTTCTTTTCTTTTTCTAGCGCTATTGATTTCATTTACAACAATATGTAATGTATGTATATTAACATAGATCTGTTTTTCATATATAGACAAAAGAGAAAACTTACACATCCCATCTTATTTTCCATATCCAAATATCATCATGTACATGTATAATATTTATATGCATACATAATTGCAAACTATATATAATCAAATTTTAAAAGATACATTTAACAGCATAAATTAAAAAGCTGCTAATGTAAACACAGTTGTCCTACATGTATAATAAAAGATGTTATTGAAAAAATTCATTTTACGAAGAAATAGAGAAAAATGCTTTCTTAATACACGTAAAATATCACTATATTTCTATATAGGATATAAAATCCTCATGTAAAAAAAATATCGATACCTTCTGTAGCCAAAATAATTTAAATTTCAATTAGTCCACTTTTAAACAAATTAAAATTTAAATACATAAATTAAACGAAATATGAAATATAACAAATAAGAAGACAGGATGTGCAGTTTGATACAGGTAAGGCATTCGAAATTATCATTTTCACTTACTTCATTATATACAATATATTTTATAAAGGAAATAGATCAATATTTTTAATTATTATAAATGAAATGCATTATGATAACTTCAAGCGTCTTACAGTGAAAATTAGACACTAATTTTATATAAAGTAAAAATCAAAATTTACCATAATTTTAAAAAAGCTATTAAAAGGATTATTGGCATGCAATTTTATTAATTTATCTACTACTGTTTTGTTCTGATATTGTAATTCGTCATGTTAGCAATTAATTGAGTTTAAACTGATTAATGTTTACAAAATATACAATGAAAAATGATATTATTATAAGTAAGAAACATCATTGTGCATCAGGATGTTTACAATATTTTTCTCTCTATTTATATATAATATATATATAAATTTTATTCCTTTTCTTTAATATTTCACATCAGATACTTAATCTACTTTGTAAAATCATGGCATCTATTTAGAAATATTATCATACACAATGGATGTTTCAATAACATTAGTAATTATATTAAAATATTTGTCTGTATGTATCATTCTTTTTTTTAGCATAATTTATCTTTTGCAAGTTAAAAAAAGACAAATCTTAAAAAACTCAAGTGTAATTTGTTATTGTTAACGTTAGACTATCGTAAAGGATTGGCATCAGTCAACAAGCACGCTAGCGCTGTATACCTTTCTAGTTTTAAACTGGAAATCCGGTTTAGATGTTTCTTGAGCGTATTTGTAGTAATTGGTTGACAAGGTGCAACACATGGTGGTGAGTCACCAATCAACTCAACTATCGTCACTACAAAAGTTGACCATTCAGAAGGCAGAGAATCATCTGTGTCACACAATTGTTCAACTTGCTCGAGCATTGCTGCTATTGCAGACACACCAAACTAAAAGAACAAATAATAATAGTTAAATAAGATCATTGCGTTTTATGTATATATGCTTAGAATTTATTGAAAGATTCATAATGCGTTTGATTCGTTATGTGTTAAAATTATACACACGCGCGCGTGGTATGTGTATGTGTGTGTGTTGTAACTAACCTTATTTAGAAGAGCAAAAGTTAAGCTATTATTTTTAACAGGATGATTAGTAGCAGAGTCAGATAATGCTCTTGCTAATCGCAATATAGTATCAAAATCTTTCACAGCATCAAGCCATCTTCGAAATTCGGAATAAAAATCTGTTAATATATGACAATCTCTACGGCCTATCACGGCTAAACCTTTAAATATCGCAGTCCACAATTCTCTCAACTGCTTACTATATTCTGTCACATTCAGGTGAGGTAAAAAACGCAGTAGTAACGTCTATTAACATATAAATGCAATATAAGATACTGAAAATAATAAAATTTTAAGCTCATCTCTTATCCATCAACCTTACCTTTCCTTTTCGAATACTTAGCATACTAGCTAATTTGTCATCTTGTATTAACTGTTGCATACATGTTAAAATCATGTTTATCAACTCTGGTTCAGTTTTAGTCGTATTTACGTCAGATTCCCCTTCCTGTTGCTGTTGAGGTTCCGGAATTAAAGC